TTTTTTCTTTTCTTTTCCTGTACTCAAATTGAAGTTATACTCATCTCTTATTTTTTGTTATGTATATACTACATTTGCTCTATGTTTTTTATTTTGTAGAAAGTAATTATTTAAGGTTACGATGTTTGAAATTCTTCATTTGGAGAAACAATGGATAAAATAAAGCTATTATCGAAATCATGATAATTTTCGATAAACGTATTCAATAGCTCTTAAATAATCTCTTCGTGAGTAGGTTATCTATCAATGTATCATTTTCAGTAAAATAATTTAAGAGATGGTCGGCATTTATCACATTTTTTGTAGGTTGATTATAAATGGCTTCATGTTATCAATTGAAAAATTAATAATCCCATCTAAAATAATGTTTTTTTCTCGGCCCCAATACTATTATTTTACAAAAGTTCAATTGTACATTTGGAATAGAAGCGCATGCGAGCGCGCGCGCGCGCGCGCGCACACACACACACACATATATATATGATGTGGTGATTGTACAAGAAAGTGAAATCCATGTGTTAAACTATCGATCATTTTGGACACATTCTATTTAAACGGATCAATTGTATCAAGAATGCAAATGTTTTAAGAGAATAATTACTTCCTCTATTTAAAATTTTGGACAAAAATGCAATGATCCATATTTACTTTAAAATGTTGATTTTGATGGGAGAGATACAAAGCCCATGTTTGACAATCATTATTTTGAGAAAATGGAGTTTTGAATGGTGATTTTTTGGAGAATGTATGGTTAAAAAATAAGGAAAATTTTTGAATTTACGCGTAAAATATTTTATTATGTAAATGTATAGTTAAAAATGAGTATGAAAATTAAAGAATTTTGAAATAATGGTTATGAAAGGGGGCAAAGCATGACAGGGATGCTTGCGGGATGTGGAATTGTATTTATATGTGACAGATTTGTAATTGATTCTAAAAGTTTATATTTTATGGCGGAAAATTAATGACTATGAGACCACGTAGATATAATACATTCGTTTTAGATAGAATTGTATATTGCTTATTATCATTCATGTTGTTAATAATTATTGACGTAAGGAGTGTATATTGATCTATGATGTAATAATATTATTAATCACTCTGTTCCGCAAAGATAAGATTATTTTCTTTTTTCAGTTGTCTCAAATTATAGTCACTTTTCTTATTGAGAGCATAATTGAGGTCTTAATTTTTAATATATTCTTATTTAATATGTCTTGTTATCAACAAATATGAATTTTTCTTATTTAAACTATTATTCAATTTAGGGGTATATTAGAAAAAATATGAGTAAAATTTATATTTTCAACTATATTAATTATATATTTTTATTCTGTATGAGAATGAAAGCAAACCTATCTTTATGGGATGAAGGGAGTATTTTGTATTGGAAAGAGATGCATAGATTTGTGTGAATGCATGAATGGGAGCTGGACGCTTACAAGTCCGGATGTATCCAAAAATTTCATTAATTCAGTTTAAATTACTATAAAAAATGATAAAAATATTTTAAAGAAGCACAATCAATAATTATCGATAACATGAATGACAACGTTGTCTTGTAGTACGATAATTTTATCAAAATCACCATAATCATTCGTAATCATACCATTGGTGATCGCCTATAGATCATCGGTTCCACTAAATTCCTAATTATTGTTCACGAAAGGCACTTTTGACGATATCCCTTGAGGCCTCCAAATTGCTTGAGTCGCTTTCGATGGTGTCAAATTTTAATTCTTTAGGTAAAGAATAATGTTATCTATGTAGACTACATATTAGGTGACAAGTATAGGGGGTTAATTTATATATTATCTTAAATGCATATGTATCAAATTCTAGATAAATAGGATTACAATTCAGTAAATAGCATCAACATTTCTCAATCTTTCTTTCATGACATTTGCAAATTCGTCCTCAACCAAATATTACGAATTATTGTCATCCATCCAATAGTCAAATCATTTAATTAACATATTCAAATTTATTCCTTATCTATAATGGGTATTAACAATAGAATTTGTACTATCTTTTAGACACGTTAGGTTTGTGACTTTATAAAGCTACAAGCGTTACTTCGAAAATAAGAATATATGGGTGATTGTACTTGATAAATATTTATGAGGAATTTTAAAAATTTGAAAACTCGTGTAGAACATTTGTAAAAATATGTAATATTAGTATGTAATTTAAATTTTTTTACATTATTAGTTGTGTCTTCATGGAATTCAAGTCTTGACATCGCCGTTAAGTTTGGCTTTCGACTTTGGTGGCTTATGAGCCAGTATTTCTAACACGTGTTATCTGTTGTGAGTGGTTTGTTCTGGAATAATTTTTGCCTAATTGTCTTCAACAGTTTCTTACTGTTAAGCGAACTGCTCGAGTGACTGAAACCTTTGTATAATGAATTTCTTCATAGAAGAAAAAATATACCTATTATGCTTCCAAATTCTTCAAACCTGAGAAAACCCATCTGCGTATTTTGCGTGTACTGACTGCTGGTCACCTTAATTTTTTCTCCGAACTTTCAACTTATAATAAAGACAACTGAATTCAGACAAAAAAACACCGACAACAATGACGACTTTGATAACTTTAATGAAGTTTCCTTTTTCACATTACAATTCCAACCTATGTGTACGTATTTGAGCCTATAATGTCTTAATTTTCAAGAAGTAAAAGACTGACTACATACTGTTATGACTTATATACATAATCACCACGTGACATCTT